TGTTACCGCCGCGTTAGATCTAGTAGCAGTCCATTACTGCCTCGCTTGCAGACCCACCCCCAGTCCCCCACCCTCCCCCCTCACGTACTTCTCACTCGTACCACGGCCATAAGAAAATGGGTCTGGCCTCGATTCTCCCCCCCCCCCCTCTCTTTACCTCTTACGTCTGTCTGTCTGACCTTCAAATCGAGGTCAACCGAGGTTGCCCGCGGTCATATAGGTGCACGCCAGCTAAGAACACCTCGTCAACGGCTGTCGGCTAGCCAGGGTCGGGGTGTGCTGGTCGACGTGTAGCAGGGGGGTGGGGTCGGGGGGCGTCGCACCGTGACCGTATCCACCCAAGCGTGTAGTCTACACAAGGGTGCCCTCATGTTTAATTAAGAGGGGTCGGGTGAGGGGGGAAAAAAAGGGGGGGGGGAATTTGTATGTCTGTGTGTTGATTATACTAATTGAAATTTGATACAAGGAAAATGAAATTTGATGCCGGTGGAAAAATTTGATATCAGGATAATTGAATTAGTTGATATTTGTTTCCTAAGTATTTATCCCCCCCCCCCTTTCAGTAATGCAAAGAGAATTAACAATTTTCTCAAGGTTAACTTGTCAGTTCTGAAAGGTTCTTATATTTCATGTAGCCTTTGATTAATTCTAATTAAATATATCCACTAATTAGATGATCTAATTATAAACTTTAACACGTAGGTCGACTTAAGTTTTATTTCACAAATAGAGACTTCATTCGAAATGTCAGTTTTTTTTTTGTGTGTGTGTGCGAAAGCAATGGTTTTGATTTGTAATTTTTTTTCCTTTGATTAGTATGTGGTGTAGATTCAATATTTTTAATTTGGTACTTTCCCTGCCGAATTGAAATCTGTATTTTAGCACCTAATTGTATAAAAACGGATTAAGACCAAGGGACCATAAAAGACGTCACGCTTTTTTGGACGATTGTTACCTTCCCCCCTCCCCTTCGTCACACATTGTCACAAAAAGCCAGACCTACCCCTAAAATGACGTTACACCTCAGCCTACCCCCCCCCCCCCCCCTCAAAATTGCAGTTGAATTTTTCTTAGAACATCGATATTTTTCCAAAATCTTGTCAGAACTCTGTCAACATAGAGTATTTTAATCAATTCCTATTACAATTTATTAAAATAGTTTTCTAAAACTTGAAATAACGTCTAAAATATTCGTTTTCTAGCATTGCTTTTTTATGGTGCAAAAGTGTGACGTCGCACCATCTGAACCCCCCCCCCTCCCCTCATCACACACCGTCACAAAATAACGCCCCCCCCCCCCTACGAGCGTGACGTCATTTATGGACGACCCCCAAGTAGTTTCTGTAAAGAGAAAGAAGTTTCCTCGGATCAACCCCCCCCCCCCCCCCCACCAGTGAAAAAAAAGATAAAAAGATTATGTAAAATTTGTACTTTTAGATTGTGTTGAGTGGTTGAAATTGGGACATGTCATTACAAATTTGCATGAAAAGGTCAATATTTTGGTACCTAACGCCAACACTATCCCCACCAAACTGTGTAAAAAAAAAAAACAGGCATAATTAATTTTTGATTCCCAGCAAATTTAGAGCTAACTGCTCTGGTGTTTTATTAATTTTTTTCTTTTTATATTTAAAAAAAATATTCTATAGAATATAATTTTATTTATAAAAGTTCTAAGTGTTGAGGTTGTCTTCGGAACTTGCGTTTAAACTTGACTTGTAAACATTCTGCACAATTCCATCTTAGAAATTATTCTTGTAAATATTGTGTATATATAATACATATTATGTATTAGACATGTAGCGTTTCATTCAATGCCATAAGGGTTTGAATTATTTAATATACACAAAGATTTAGTTGTATCATAAAAGCTATGATATTTCACAGCGTTAAGTGCGGATGCTCGAATTAAGATTAAAAAAAAAACAACAACCGAGGTTAGTCCAATTAACACGTTTTTTAATTAATTGACAATGACATTATGTAAAAATTAATAATTGGCGGGTATGAACGCACTACATCAAAACAACTTTCACCCACAGTAAACAAGACATTTGTATTGGGAGATTTTTGGAATTCAAAAAAAAAATTAGAATCATGTTGTTGACAAATCTAATTATTTATACCTGTGTTTATAAATAATCCACACTAGACTTCACCTTTCGTCGGTTTAACAACGCACGCACACACACACATCACACACTCACACACGATTAACAAAATACAATAAATAATTCGTGTAAAAAGATCAATTATTGATTTAATAAATACATTTTAGTGTGTGCCTTCAATGATGTAAAAACCACACTGTAGATAAGTAAATCATTATGGCGTTAACCAACATACTGTATAATATTCGTTAATTTTAACCACCATATATATGATATAATCAAATATAACGGATACTTCCTCGATTTAACCAGTGGATATAATATAATAAATAATTAATCGATTTAATCAATGCATGTGATATAATATGATCGACGCACCATAATTATATAGATAGAGGCATTGATAATGTTAAAAAAATTTAGGAAGAATCAAACCATCCAATTATGTTGATCTTGTATCTGTCTCTCAAAACTGCGTGTGTGTGTGTGTGGGGGGGGGGGGGGGGGTTGTATGTAAGAAATGGTGTGTGACTCGAGGGTTCTTAGTAAATACATAATAGACTATACAGTAATTAATCTTGAGTAGCTACTTAAAATGAGGAGTCATCGAAAGAAATTAAAATTTATTTTTGGATAATTAGTAGTAAATATATATTTATACATTTTTAAATAAAATTCTAACTTAATTTCTTATATTACTTTTCTTTCAATATTTTAATATTAAGTAAAAATATAAATATTGAAAGAATAGTATTATAAGGAATTAATATTAAGTAAAAATATAGCCTTTTAAAAAGTTGACAAAATGTAATTAGCTGATTAGGCCATCCAGTTAATTTATCCTGTCATGGTTTGACGATGCTTTCGTCACAAGAGTCTAATTTATTTTTTGTTGCTCAATTTAAATTACGAAATTACATGTTTGTAAAAGTTAGACTGCTGTTTTGTGAAAGTTAGTTTTCTATTTTGTAAAAGTTCAATATTGTTGTTAGAATAATTTATAAACTATACCTAATTATGTCTTCAACTAATTATTGCCTTCCTGCTATTGTGGTATGAACCTGTTTAATTATTAGTCGTCCTCTAATTTACGAAATGCATTCAACTAATAATAGTAGGCCTATTTGTTCAACAAGTACATCATTTAGTTAATTCACTGATTAGATAATGAAAATTGAAAATGTTTGACATACAAAAGTTTAATAAACGAATACGGGTGTCAAGTTCTTCAGTACCAATATGTGGTCATCAGTTTTTGGACAGGAATGTAATTTACTGTAAATCTTAATTTACTGTAAAACCTTATAAAAACTGACTCAACCTTTTTTTTTTCCTTTAACCTTTTTCTTTAATTGAACACTGGAAGCCATATTAGATCATGTATTTGGTTGTTAACATTTTCAGCTAAAATAAAAAAATAAAAATATCCATATATAGGCCTACTGTTTGTAAAGAAAAAAATTAAAAATTAATAAAAGCGCTGTAGACGAGGGGGGGGGGGGGGGAATGAGGACCGCACCGGGTGACACCGTCTATGGTGGGTGACCCCAAAACAAAAAAAAAACTTCTTTTTATTAGAAAGTCTTTTTCTCCGAGACCACGGTGGGGTGGGGGTGACACCCGATCTAGTGACGCCACTGCTTGCTTGTAACACTTGTTTCTGCTCAGTTCGTTTCAAATTTGTATCATTTTTTAAGGGGGGGGGGGAGAGGGGGTGTTCCTTAAGATCTACCTATGTACCTACCTCATACTCGTTGATAGAGACACAGAAGGGGGAGGGGGGGGCTAAAATCTGCCCATCAGGAACGGTGCAACGATGAAAGACTAAAACCGGACTTTAGATTATAGGAAATACTGCGACTAATGACGTTTTAATTAATTAGTGATACGTCATCTGGTCTGTCATTGGTTACATTTTTTGCCGGTATTTTATAATGCAGGCTGGTTTATAACTTGTGGTGTTAGAACAGGGTGAGGGTGGGGTGAGGAGGGGGCGCCATTTGCCGTGAGTGTCACATATGTAGCGCTTTTTTATGTATATGTGTGTTGTCACATCCATTGTGTTGAAAGAGTTCAGACATACGTTTTCAGATAAAACATTCATATTCGGATGTAACATACATTTTCAGAAATAACATACTTTTTCAGAAATAACATACTTTTTCAGAAATAACATACATTTTCGGATGTAACATACATTTTCAGAAATAACATACTTTTTCAGAAATAACATACATTTTCGGATGTAACATACATTTTCAGAAATAACATACATTTTCAGAAATAACATACATTTTCAGATATAACAATTTTCATATGTAACATAGATTTTCAGAAATAACATATATTTTCAGAAATAACATACATTTTCAAACCTAACCTACCTTTTCAAATATAACATACAATTTTAGTCAATTTTTAAGATTAAGTTAATCTGGGTTGCTGTACTAGGGCCCCAATTTATAAGCCGGGGGGGGGGGGTATTTGTCTGTTTATAAATGGTTATTGTACGGTCACCATTGCTGTATGCTATTCTTCTTCTTCTTCTTCTTCCTCGTTCTTAATTTAGTATTGGAAGGGATCCCCTCCAACATAATTAAGTATACGTGTCAACTGTTTATGCGCTATTGAGGCCGTTGACTGCTATGTTTGTATTAGTTATCTCTACAATTTTAGCATTGCGTTTACACGTCGAATTCAATACACTATCAGACGATCACATGTAAAATCTAACTGTACCATCCAAATTAAATTTAACCCTGTACCAAACAATATCAGACGGTCACCATGTTGAATCTAACCTAACCATCGAATTTAAAATGTAACCCTGTTCTGTACACTATCAGAATATCACTGCAACTAGAACTATATATCTTTTTCTTTCTACAGGTTTCATTCATAGGGTTGGAGCAGTTGTACATATGCATGTAAGTATTTGTTTTCATCATTAAGTTGGGGGGGGGGGGCAATAACATAAACGACGTCACATTACTGGGAGGGGGAGGTTTTCACTTTAGGAAATGAATTTAGAAAGTCTACGTCACACTTCTGAAGTGTATGACATACTTTTGAAGTTTAACTCAAACTTTTGAAGTTAACTCATACTTTTGCGTAAAAAATGTTTTTAAGACAATTTTACCAGTTGTTTCGCATTTTCAAAAAAAATCCCAAAAGTAAAATTGAAATAAAGAGAGTTCACTGTATTTCAGTTGCCCCTTGTTATTTTTTAAAATATATTTTTTTAAAAAATCGTTTTTTTTTAGAAGGAGGGGGGGGGGGTGGTTCACCTGAAGTGTGATGTTATTTTATGGAAAGTTCTGATTTTTCGAAGAAGTATGAAGAAAGGGATAGAGGGCTTAAGGGAGGAATTAATCTAAAAGCGTGACGTCATTTATGGATGACCCCCTCCCCTTATTAAATTTGATGACATAACAGTAGAATGTATAGCCTCAAATAAACTAATTTAAATTTGTCACAAAAAAACAAACATACAAACATAATTTATACACGTGAGAACTGTCATTAGTTAATTGAAAATTGCATCAGTTACTTTAATAATTAGTAAGTTGATTGTTGTATAACTTAATAATATAGCATTTATTTGAAAAACAAGATAAATACGAATTAGGTACAAAATAGATTTTTTAAGAAATGTAGGTTGCTGAGTCGACTGCGTAGGTGTTGGGGGGGGGGGTGTTGTATTGGACAAGGGTACATAGTGTGCCTCATGTAGAGTCGGGGCCGAAGGAAGAGCTTTATTAGGGTGAATCTCAACACTTTAATCTGTGTTCGATTTTGTTTAACAAATCTTTTGTAGAAGCAGTCACGAGACGTTGGAGAGGGGGGGGGGTGGTGCTAACCAATTCGAAGAATCGTTGTATGTACCGTCGAAACATTTTATGCAGTAACATTACTAAACATTACAAAGAAAGTAGTTGAGAGGGGCGATACAAAACCGAAAATGTCATCCCCCCCCTGTAACCGTAACGGATAACACCCGACCTAGTGACGCCACTGTGTAGAAGCCCAGCCTTTAATATTGTCATGCCGCGTTATCGTTAGATAGTCCCATACTGTGATCCCATTGACCAGTCCCTGAAAGTTACAAGAGGATTTTGTTAACAAAAATAAACTCAGTACCCGTCTGTTAACATTTGTTAACAAAAATAAACTCAGTACCCGTCTGTTAACATTTGTTAACAAAAATAAACTCAGTACCCGTCTGTTAACATTTGTTAACAAAAATAAACTCAGAACCCGTCTGTTAACATTTGTTAACAAAAATAAACTCAGTACACATCTGTTAACATGTGTTAACAACCATCAGATATCTACATACTTTTCTGGGTTTTTTTCGATGAACATTTATTTTAAATTTAAAAAATCAAACAAAGCTTAATTAATTCCTCATTTAATAAATGTATACATATTTCATACAAATTTAGTTTAAAACATATATTGTTAATTGAAACTCTGCTAATTGACATTTTTCAAATAAAAAATTAATATTATAATGTATGCTATGTATAGACTAACAGTCGGCTTGAGTTAGACGTGTGTCATTGGTGTATATCATTGCCGTGTATCGTTGCTGTGTTTCATTGACATGTGTTATTGCCGTGTGTCACCGATGTGTGTCTTGGACGTGTCGTCAACGTATGCCATTGCCGTGTGTCATTGATATAATGTGTCATTGCCGTGTGTCGTGGACGTGTCATCGACGTGTGTCACTAACCTGTATAAATGACGTGTGCCAATCACATGAATATCTCACGGCCACTGTCGACGCTAACTGAAATATTTTCCACCAGCCTCAGAAGCATTAGTGCATCAATTACAGAAGACTCGTTTTCAAGGACTTTTTTTCTAATTAATATTAGCATATGTTAGTACATTAATAGCATGTGTAGAATGAACCAGATCGATTTGAAGAGTGTCGAAACATTTTGGTGGATTGGAAAACGTGTGACGTAGGATTGGGGTATATCTAGAACATGGTTATATAAAACTTGAGGATTGGGGTAGGTCTAGAACATGGTTATATAAAACTTATGATTGAGGTAGATCTAAAACATGGTTATATAAAACTTATGATTAGGGTATATCTAGAACATGGTTATATAAAACTTGTTATTGGGGTATATCTAGAACATGGTTATATAAAACTTGTGATTGGGGTATATCTAGAACATGGTTATATAAAACTTGTGATTGGGGTATATCTAGAAAATGGTTATATAAAACTTGAGGATTGGGGTATATCTAGAACATTGTCGTATAAAACTTGTGATTGGGGCATATCTAGAACATGGTTATATAAAACTTGTAATTGGGGTATATCTAGAACATGTGTGTGATTGGGGTATATCTAGAACATGGCTATATAAAACTTGTGATTGGGGTAAATCTAGAACATGGTTATATAAAACTTGTGATTGGGGTATATCAACATGGTCATATAAAACTTGTGATTGGGGCATATCTAGAACATGGTTATGTAAAACTTGAGGATTGGGGTATATCTAGAACATGGTCATATAAAACTTGTGATTGTGGTATATCTAGAACATGGTTGTACAAAACTTGTGATTGGGGTAAATCTAGAACATGGTCATTTAAAACTTGTGATTTGGGTAGATCTAGAACATGGTTATATAAAACTTGTGATTGGGGTAGATCTAGAACATGGTTATATAAAACTTGTGATTTGGGTAGATCTAGAACATGGTTATATAAAACTTGTGATTTGGGTAGATCTAGAACATGGTTATATAAAACTTGTGATTTGGGTAGATCTATAACATGGTCATATAAAACTTGTGATTGGGGTATATCTAGAACATGGTCATATAAAACTTGTGGTTGGGGTAGATCTAAAACATGGTCATATAAAACTTGTGATTGGGGTAGATCTAGGACATGGTCATATAAAACTTGTGATCTGGGTAGATCTAGAACATCGTCATATAAAACTTGTGATTGGGGTATATCTAGAACATGGTCATATAAAACTTGTGATTGGGGTATATCTAGAACATGGTTATATAAAACTTGTGATTGGGGTAGATCTAGAACATGGTTATATAAAACTTGTGATTGGGGTAGATCTAGAACATGGTTATATAAAACTTGTGATTTGGGTAGATCTAGAACATGGTTATATAAAACTTGTGATTTGGGTAGATCTAGAACATGGTTATATAAAACTTGTGATTTGGGTAGATCTAGAACATGGTTATATAAAACTTGTGATTTGGGTAGATCTAGAACATGGTTATATAAAACTTGTGATTTGGGTAGATCTATAACATGGTCATATAAAACTTGTGATTGGGGTATATCTAGAACATGGTCATATAAAACTTGTGGTTGGGGTAGATCTAAAACATGGTCATATAAAACTTGTGATTGGGGTAGATCTAGGACATGGTCATATAAAACTTGTGATCTGGGTAGATCTAGAACATGGTCATATAAAACTTGTGATTGGGGTATATCTAGAACATGGTCATATAAAACTTGTGATTGGGGTATATCTAGAACATGGTTATATAAAACTTGTGATTGGGGTATATCTAGAACATGGTCATATAAAACTTGTGATTTGGGTAGATCTAGAACATGGTTATATAAAACTTGTGATTTGGGTAGATCTAAAACATGGTCATATAAAACTTGTGATTTGGGTAGATCTAAAACATGGTTATATAAAACTTGTGATTTGGGTAGATCTAGAACATGGTTATATAAAACTTGTGATTTGGGTAGATCTAGAACATGGTTATATAAAACTTGTGATTTGGGTAGATCTAGAACATGGTTATATAAAACTTGTGATTTGGGTAGATCTAGAACATGGTTATATAAAACTTGTGATTTGGGTAGATCTAGAACATGGTTATATAAAACTTGTGATTTGGGTAGATCTATAACATGGTCATATAAAACTTGTGATTGGGGTATATCTAGAACATGGTCATATAAAACTTGTGGTTGGGGTAGATCTAAAACATGGTCATATAAAACTTGTGATTGGGGTAGATCTAGGACATGGTCATATAAAACTTGTGATCTGGGTAGATCTAGAACATGGTCATATAAAACTTGTGATTGGGGTATATCTAGAACATGGTCATATAAAACTTGTGATTGGGGTATATCTAGAACATGGTTATATAAAACTTGTGATTGGGGTATATCTAGAACATGGTCATATAAAACTTGTGATTGGGGTATATCTAGAACATGGTCATATAAAACTTGTGATTTGGGTAGATCTAAAACATGGTTATATAAAACTTGATAGATGCTGCTCCAATTGAAACTGAATGACTTATCGTCTGATACTCTTCTTCTTCGTTCTTAATTTTTAGTGTTGGGAGGGATCGAGCCTTATTTGCCAGAGGGTTTGAACTCGAGACTTTTTTCGAATTTATCAACCATGAGCTTTGCCGACTCGACCATGCTTTTTGGATTTGCTCCCATAGCCTCTGTCTAACCAAGAACAAACTACAAGGTAGCAGTTGTTTGATTTTGGAGTTGTCTCTCCTAGAAGAGTGGCTGTCCCCAGCTAACGAGCCTCATCTGCCCGAGGGTTCGAACTCGAGACTTTTTGGTTTAGCAACCATCAGCTTTACCGACTCGACCACGCCGACCCCTATCGTCTGATACAAAACTTCTGAAAAAAAAACTTTAATCCCTCGTCTGCTCCCGCGGTTACTGACAAACGTTTCCTGTTGAACTCGGAACCGGTATCTGCCGGCTGTCTCGGAACCGGTATCTGCCGGCTGTCTCAGAACCGGCATCTGCCGGCTGTCTTGAAACCGGTATCTGCCGGCTGTCACAGGTATGTGACAAGGGTATCACATGCGCAGATAATCTGCGCAAAACTTTGAAGTTTAAATTTAAAGTCGACTTCCTGTGAAAA